AGGGGGCCGCAGCGGAGGCAGAGGACAGACTGAGCTGGGCAGATGCTAGGAGCAGACACCAGAGGCCTATACTGGCTCCCTCCTCAGCACCAAACAATCAGTCCCCTCCCCCACCCCCGCGACAGCAGCCTGGGGCTAAGGGCAGCGCCCACTGGGGGTTTCTCTTTTGCTCCCGCTGGGGTGAGCAGGGACCTGGGGGTATTTCTAGCAGAGCCGTTGGAACTGAACCGGGGAACCAGGTTTTAATAACAGGCAGCTCAAGTTCAGACGAATTTTGTTACAATTTTCTTTATAATATGAAAGAATTCACCAGTAACCGGGCAGCAGTTATTGCAACTCTTCTCTCCTGCTCTTCCCTGCCGTAGAAAGAAACAGCGTTTTGGCTTTTCATGGCACAGGAGTCAGGGTCCTTCACTGTCCAGAATCAATGTGCACAGAAGCAGCCTGTTGTGTTTCATTTCTTAGTGCCATCGTTCCGGTTCTGGTGCCATTGTGTGGCCATTTCCTTCCCCTCCTTCCTGTCCAAACACAGAGCCCAATTCCTCCAGGGAGAGGAGGACATCTTCCTTCTTTCCTTCCTGAGCAGCCCCCTTCCTTGGAGAGCCCTTTGCTGGGGTCTGGATGGGGAACAGCCATTTTCAGGATTAATTTAACACCATATTTGGTGTTGATTCATAGATTTTACAGCCAGACTAGATCACTATGTACATCCGCTCTGACCCGATTCATAACAGAGCCCAGAGAATTCCCCCAGTGACTCCTACATCCCTCCCAACATCTTCTGGTTGAACGAGGACGGGTCATTCAGAAAGTCATCATGTTCAGATGTAAAGGGGTGAAATGATGGGAAAATTCTCCCTTCTTCCTAGTTTAAATTCTGTAACTTCTACATTGGACAATAATACTCAGTTATTCACTGGCCATGAATGAAAACCAGGTCTGCCATATGAGAGACAATAATTCCACCGGAGAATCACAAATGTTCAAACTATAAAAATGTCAG